GTCTTCAGAACACTTTTATAAACTTCTTGTGGAAATATAGGTTTGGCCTCAAATTGGAGAAGATTAAAATTTCTAGAGCTATAATAATGTCAACATGTTTTCGTGCTTTCTTTTGTATTTGGTAAGGTCTTTGCGCAAGTGAGTCTGTTGTCTACCATAACAGCGGTCGCTCTCTTTGAACGAGAACAACTGGACCTATTGCTTGATCGGGTTTCATCTCGATGAGGGTTCTCGCAGCAACTATGCCGCAAATTTACACTGCGTTGTGAACTATCCATTTTCTGTGGATCCAACTTCTAATCTGTGTGTTCTTTGCCATCGCAGGTGCCAAGACCCGACGATATCTTTACTATATGCTATACTAGTGGATCTACAGGTACGTTTTGCTTCCCTGTGTTCTCAATCCCATGACGGTGTTCTTTTCAACCAAAGTCTTTAAAAAATGCTTGTTATCCCTGGCGGTCTATAAAGAACGATAATTAACGCAAATAATCTATTACACAGGGACTCCAAAAGGTGCTATTATCACTCATGATAACATGATTTCAGATCTTTCAGCATTTCACTTCGTTGTGCAGCGGGTAGGTTGCGTTATCAATAAGAAGTTGTCAAGTACAATTTGCTCTCGTGTCGGCACTTTAGGAATAAGCAACGACAGCCCACTAAACAAAAGATCAGAACTTCCAGAACTAATCATCAGGCAGTCGATGTTTTTGTAAAAAAAATCGTCGGAATAGATGTAATTTCAATTAATACAACAAGGGAAATGCACTAAAGATCGAAATAATACTATTCGACAAGATTCAAAGTTTGTATAGTCACAAGCATGACACTTTGAGATTTTTCGACTTCCTGACGTTTAGTCTTGTCAAAAATTAGCATGATTAGGATATTTGATATGCAGTTGATAAGTACATTTAATGCATCTATTGTTCACTTTATACATTTGATATACTTTGTTTGTTTTTGTTGTTGTGGCTATTGAACCAAATAAAACACTTTTTTATCTGTTTATACTGTGAACCAATTATTATTATCATTAACTGCCTATCAAATATCCTAATCATTATCTCTTCAAAATGAAGAAACAATGGTCCAATATATAGGCCCTGCACCAATCACGGGATGCTTGGGGGCAATGATAAATTGTTCTGGTAGAAAATTAGGGTTAGAAACTTTCACTTCCAAAACTCTGGTATGTCTGTATTTTTCAAAAAATTTGACTGCCTGACGTTTAGTTCTGGGACGAAACGTCAGGCAGTCGAAAAATGTCAAAGGTGCCGTGCTTGTGTTAACTTGTCGAACAGTATTATTTTGGTCTTTATTGCATTCCTCTTGCTGCATTAATTGAAATTACGGTTGTTTCGACTGATTTTTTAAGAAAAAAATTTGACTGCCTGACGTTTAGTTCTGCACTGCCTGACGTTTAGACACTCCGTATTTTTATTATGCATCTTTTCAACAACAAAAAATTAAAAAAAATTGCAGTTCGGATTGAAAATGAATGAAGATGAGGTACTGCTGTCCTACTTACCGATGGCTCACATGTACGAACGAGTAAACCAGGTAGCGTAGAGTCGACATAATTATGTACAATGTTTTAAATTAGAAATTTAAAGCTAGAGATTGTAGTCGGTTCATTTTACAGTGTTTTCATGATTACTAGGTAAATCACAGGCAACCCAAGCAGAGCATCCAAATTTTTTTTTTAATAAAATCATCTTACCTTGATATCATGTGTTCTTGATGTTATTTAACATTGCTGTGTGTGGTTTTGAAGGGATTTAGACCTATTTTATAAAAAATATCACCCTCAGTAGTAAAAGACTACAAGGCTGGTTACAGAGCGTCCACACCACTCGTCTTTAATAGCCGAAAAAAATATCTTAAATCCATCTTTTGCCTCCAAAATACCCTCAGCGGCATGTCTCTAGGATCCTTCTATCCAGAATTGGGCAA